CGGGGTGGGCAGCGGCATCCCCCGGCCCCCGGGACGGTGGGCTCTGAGTTGGAGGGCAGATGCAGGGGAGGATGCTCCATCTGCACCTGCACCAGCTCCCAGCACACAGCCCCGGGCAATTTTAGTACTGTCCACTGTGTTCAGCTCTGGGGTCCCCAGCACAAGGACATGGAGCTGTTGGAGTTGGTCCAGAGGAGGCCATGAAGATGATCCGAGGGCTGGAGCACCTCTGCTATGAAGACAGGCTGAGAGAGTTGGGGCTGTTCAGCCTGGAGAAGGCTCCAGGGTGATATTATTGCAGCCTTCCAGTACCTAAAGGGGGCCTACAGGAGAGCTGGAGAGGGGTTTTTTACAAGGGTGTGTAGTGATAGGACAAGGGGCAATGGCTTTAAACTGAAAGAGGGGAGATTTTGATGAGATCTAAGGAAGAAAGTTTTTACACTGAGGGTGGTGAGGCACTGGAACAGGTTGCCCGGAGGAGTTGTGGCTAAACCCACCCCGGGAGATTGAAGGCCCAGGTTGGATGAGGCTTTGGGCAACCTGGTGTAGTGGAAGGTGTCCCTGCCCATGGCAGGGGGGGTGGAACTAGATGATCTTTGAGGTCCCTTCTAACCCAAACCATTCTATGATTCTATGACCTTTCCGGCCACAGAGGCTCAGACAGGCAGAGTTCTCCTCTCCTCTTGCCCAGGAGGGCCAATGAGGACATTTTGCATCTCCGAGTGAGCGAAGGTGCTGCTTGTCTCCCATGGAGACTTCCATGCAGATGGCCACACCTGAGCAAATTGCCTACACTCATTTATTGTTGGCAGCGAGAAATGGGCTCTGCATCTCCTCCTGAAGGACAACAGGACTAAAAATGTCTCGGATGAGTTGTGCTCCCTTGAAGGATCTGCTCCTGCTGATGAGAAGTCTGAGCGACCCACTCAGACATTAAAAGGTGACATCAGTGTGTCTGAAGTTAGGTGAAATGAGGCCCATTCTCCCTCTCACCCACAGCGGGATTTCTGCAATAAGCAGCTGGCAGGGAGGAGGAAACATCATCTGGCTGTTTCCGAGCCTGCCCCGTTCCTCAGCTCCTTCCAGCCCTGTGCCGATGGGTGAGCCCTGTCTCTGGGTGCCCCGGGTCTGTGCTGGGGCATGTGGCAGCCTGAGCATGGGAGTAACGCAGCCTCGCAGCCCCTGGGACAACATGGCCAAGTGTGGATGGAGAGCGAGGAGTGTTCCTGGGCTGCTCTGGCGGTTCCTCCCCTTGTTTTTAAATCTGCCAAGGCAGCAGCCTTTTTTTCCCAGCACTGGGATGCTGTTACAGGATTACCTGCAGGGTAGGCAAGCCTTCCTGGTGTATTTCTGAATGGACACCAGATACAAAGCCTGCCCTAATCCTCCCGGTTTATGGCATTGAGCTTTCTTGCTTGTTTCCCACACTTCCAGGCACCAATGCAGTAACAAAAGCTGTCCAGCAGCCTTGGTGTTTACAGGTTTTTCTGTACCATAACCTGTGTGCTTCGTGCACCACAATGTAGTCACAGAGGATGAAGCCAGATGGCTTTTGTAGGAAGAGCAGGAGGTTCATGCAAGATGATGGGACTCCCAAGAGGAAGCCGGCAGCTGAATTGCAGTTTCCTTCAACCTCCTGCCATCCGGCACAAGGCCATCGTCCCTCCACCACTAGACTGGAAAATCAGAGGCAATCACACGCTTTCCAGGCAGGGACCAGAGCAGCGCTCTGTGGATGTCATCACGATGGTGAATGCACAAGGAATGAAGTGCAACCATGGGCAGCAGGCACTGCCCATCTGCACTCTGCCCTGGCATGAGGACAGGCTCACCTCCAGTGGACTTGACCACCGAAACCCAAACCAAGTGCCACTGACAGGCACCGACAGCCCCACGGCTTGTGTCCCTGTCCCATGCTGGAGCACGCCGTATCCTTCTGTAGGGTGCTCTGCAGAGGTGTGTACCCAGACCCAGTGCCTCGACCCTGTCCCCTCTCAGCTCCCCACTGCCAGCAGTTTTGCTCACGCTGATGAACATTTTTCCAGGGCTCACTGGGGATGTGGTTACTGGGATCTTTTCCTCTCCCTTTCTTATTCCTTGTGCTTCTCTACCTGCTTTCTGTTTTTTCACTCCTTCCTTTGGCTCCTCCTCTGCAAATTTGTCATAAAGTTGTTGAGTTTGGTGGCTGAGAAACCAGAAGTGCTGAATCTTTGAGGGCACCAGAAGTTTGGTTTTGTTGTGGTCCCTTTGCCTTGCCCAGAGCGCTGGCAGGGAGCAAAGCTGGCTGCAGGCAGAGTCCCGCGGCCCGAGGATGCTGGCAGTCCTTGCAGCAGCAGGACCTGTGCTGTTGGGATGCTCTGTCCCAGAAGTCAAGGGCTGTGGTCTCACAGGCTGCTCTGGCTTTGCGTATCTGTGACTGGGAAAAAGTCGGACCCGAGTGCAGCCAGCAGAAAGGTAGAAATTCCACCTTTCTCTGGGACATTCTTCTGGTGGACCAAAACTTTGACAGTGATTTGCTTCATGTGGCATTTAGAGCCTTGCTGGCACTCAGACAGGGCCATGGGACGTAGCAGCAGTGGTGATGCCCACCGCAGGGGTGTCCTACACCCTCTGGGGAAGGTCCTTACAGCACAGAGTTTTGCAGTGGGCTTGAGACACCCTTTGCTGAGCCCCAAGGACTGAGTTTCCCTTTGCTTTTGTCCTGCAGTCCCACCCACTGTCCCTGTGCAACACCAGCGAGGATGAACACACGGAATCGGGATTCATCACCATTGTCAAGCTTGAACAGCCGGACCGGGATCCCAACCCCTGCCTGTCACTGGCTAACAAGGTAGGTGTAAAAATGCCCCCAGTGGCACCAACTTGGGAAGTGAAATCCACAGTGCAGGGAAGAGTGAGCACAGGAGGAGGCAGCAGGGTAGGAAAGAGCTGTTGGAAGGTGGAGAAAAGGGTAAGGATAGAGCAAGGTCCTTGGCAGAAGGGGTCCTCTGGGAGAGACACTGTGCCAGCCATCCCCAATACCCATCCCTCCTTCTCTTTTGGACTGCCCAGCTTTGTAAAAGGTATGGGATTTTCCCAAACCTGACTGCTCTGGGACAGCTCAGACCTTTCCCCACCATCCCATATGCTTTACTGCCTGGCAGCCTCATGCCCTCTGTGTTTTGCAGCCTCCCCTTGCTTGCTGGCCTGTAGGGGAGGATTTGTGTTTCCCCATGTCCTCTGTCCTGTGGGAAAACATGGACACAGAAAACATCCTTTGTGGTCCTGTCTTTCAAAAAAAAATATCTCTAATACATCACTGGATGAGGCATGTGAAGGATCAGTGCTGAACAATTCAGACAAATGCAAACCAGATGAACTAGTGGTGGGATGTGACTCTGTGACAGCATGGGCCACCATCCGCCCTACAATGGGATGTGAGATCTCAGAGGTCTTTAGAGCAGGTCTCCTGTGAAAGACGGACCTCAGTGGAACAGCAGTTACTGTGTCAAAAGCTGAGGTCACAGGTACAATTCTTTGGTAATAAGGAAGTCAGGTAGGAACGAGGGTCATTTTAAGCCTAAAAAATCTTTGTGTTTCTGATAAAGTTGCGTGGATAAGGCCAACGTGAGCTTTTCTTCAGTGGTTCACTGCGTCCTTTTATTGTCTCTGTACTAAACGTTGTGTTATTTTCCACAAGCATTGTACAAACATGAAAAAACCTTTGTTTAGCTCTTCTTGGCTTTATCTGGATTGCATTCCGGTGATGCCACCCCTGTCCTCTGCTTTCTGCTGGTAGTGACATGCTGGAATAGGGACAGGGTCTGTTTCTGTCCTCCCTGCAGCTCGGCTGCAGAGGGCAGGCAAAACTGGTACCAAGCAGGTGTTCCTTCAGAGTAGGGTTTTTTTTGCAGATGCTTTGGCAACAAAAGCAGGGAAAGGGACGTGATGCTGTGATGGATTTGCCACCTCAGGGCTGCTGGGCAGCCAGGCAGCAATGCTTATCTCTTTCTGGACCACAGTGGAAGCCTAAGTTGGGTTTGCTGCTGCTCTGGAGCTGATGCCAGCTGTTAGCACCAGCCAGTTTGCTGCAGTTATCGACCTGCTATCAGTTACCCCACATCTGGAAAATGGCCTGGTCCCACCTGTGGGTGTTAGTGCTGCACGAGGATGGTGGGATAACAAGAGAACCCAAGGGCTTCCAGTGCAGCTTGTGACAGACATGAGAGCAAGGGCTCTGCGGGTGCCAGAGGGAGCACAGCTCCAAATCTCCTGTGTCCCTCCAGATGTTACCATTGTGTTATAGTGGTCTGGCATGGTTTAGCCCCAGCTGGCAACTAAGCACCACCCAGCCACTCACTTACCCACCTCCAGTGGGATGAGGGAGAGAATCGGACGAGTAAAAATGAGAAAACTCGTGGGTTGAGGTAAAAGCAGTGTAATAGGTAAAGCAAAAGCCACGCACACAAGCAAAGCGAAACAAGGAATCATTCACTACATCCCATCAGCAGGCAGGTGTTCACCATCTCCAGGCAAGCAGAGCTCCATCTTGTGTAACGGTGACTTGGGAAGAGAAATGCCATCACTCTGAATGTCCTTCCCTTTTGTTCTTCTTCCTCTTGCCTCTGCTCCAACTTGCATTTATCCACAGACTGCAGTCCCTTAGGGGTGTACCTGCTCCAAGTGGAGCCTTATCTATGAGCCACAGTCTCTTCAGAGATATACCTGTTGTGCATAGACACAGTCGCCTTTGAGGTGCACCTGTTCCAGTGTGACCTTGCCCACAGCCACAGCCCCTTCAGAAGTAAACCTGCTCCAACATGGCCTTACCATGGCTGCAGTCCCTCCAGAGCTGTACCTGCTCTCTTCTGGGCTTATCCATGACCACATGCTTTGAGGTGCTCCGGCATGACCTCATGCACAGCCACTGATGCTTCAAGGTGTACTCACTGCAGCATGGACTTAGACACAGCCACAGACACTTTGAGGTGTACCTTCTCCAGTGTGGACTTCTCCTTGGGCCACAATCCCTTCAGAGGTACATCTGCTGCAGCACAGACATGACCATGGCCACAGATACTTTGAGATGTACCTGCTCTGGCATGGGCTTCACGGCCACAGATGCTTCAGGGTGCCCTGCTCCCATGTGGACTCATCCACAGGTCACAGTCCCTTTGACTCAAGCCCACACTGGAGTTCCAGCCTGCCCAGTCCAGCAGCACAGAAGCAGCGGCGATGCCCCGTCCATCTGCCAGCCCAGGCGCATCGCCATGGCTGTTATCAAAATGTTCCCAGGTACAGTAAAGACCATAAGCAGCACAGCAGTACAGCAAGCAGTGGAAGCAAAAAGCAGCCCCTAACGAGCACCAGACTAGTGTACAGTCAGGCAAGCAAGCCCCATGGCAAGCAGGGGAGCCTGCCCATTAATAGCTAAACAGCAATAACAGCTATAAATTTGATGTAGCACATTCCAATCCAATCTGTCGTTATCTTGAACCCTTTGAGCCCCATGTTGGGTGCCAAAAAGGACTGTCGTGCTGTAAGCCCAGCTGGCGACCAAATGTCACGCAGCCGCTCGGTCACTCCCCCGCTGTGGGATGAGGGAGAGAACTGGAAGGGTAAAAATGAATCATAGAATGAGAAAAGTCGTGGGCTGAGATAAAGACAGTGTAATAGGTAAAGCAAAAGCCACGTGTGCAAGCAAAGCAAAACAAGGAATTCATACCCTCCTTCCCACGGGCAGGTAGGTGTTCACCATCTCCAGGAAAGCAGGGCTCCATCACGTGTAACAGTGACTTGGGAAGACAAATGCCATCACTCTGAACGTCCCCTCCCTTCCTTCTTTTCCTTCCAGCTTTATATGCTGAGCATGACATACGGTGTGGAATATCCCTTTGGTCAGTTGGGGTCAGCTGTCCCAGCTGTGTCCCCTCCCAGCTCCTTGTGCACTCCCAGCCTCCTCGCTGGTGGGGTGAGGTGAGAAGCAGAAAAGACCTTGACCCTGTGTAAGAGTTACTCAGCAGTAACTAAAACACCCCTGCGTTATCAACACTGTTTTCCACACAAATCCAAACATAATCCCGTACAAGCTACTATGGAAAAAACTAACTCCATCCCAGTCCAAACCAGCACATGGTCCGAGGCAGCATCTCACGGGGAGGATGCTGAGGGTGAGGGAAGCCTTGGCTGGTTTGGTCAGTGCAGCTACTGTGGAGAATCTTGAATAGGTGGATGGAGCAGCTTCAAAGACTCATCTTCCACTTAAGAACCTAAAAGGTTTAAAAAATGTTTTTCTAGTTTTGTCCTTAATCTTTGAGGCTCTGATCACAGTACTGGAAGTGTCACTGAGCCCAGGGATCAGCTGAGGAAGGTCTGCGCAGGGAGGATGAGGCACAGTGCAGTGCTGCAGTGGTCACCCTCACTGCCTTGATCCCTTCTCCAGCACCACTGCCCCCCCAGCGCAAACGAACCTCTCAGTTCATTGCCGTACTCCTGACTTGGTAGAGTGACAGGTCACTGGCCTTTAGTCATCGTTGCTTTGTTGCCAGAGCTGAATCCAACACTGGATTTGAGACCCAGCTGAACATGACGTCGGTTGCCACCCTGCCTGCAGGTAGTCCTCCTCCAAGACCTCACCCAGGGAGGCTCACAGCTCTTCTCCTCCCAGACAGGACTAGTTTACCCATGAAGTACAGGCAGATGCTCATGAAGCTGGCCACGTCCCCATACCCTGCGTTGTTCCTTGGTTCCTCCATCCCCCTGCAGCTGCCTCTGCCAAGCTCCTTCCCTCCAACACCATACAGAGCTCTTCCTCAAAAGCCCCAGACAATGCTCCTCCTTAAGAGCAGGGACGTAGCCGTGGGATGTGGCTGGTGCTCGCTGGAGCAGGAGCCTTGCTTTCCTGGCATGTGGTTGTTGCGGTAGAGCTTTGCGTGTTGAATTGCAGCGCTATATCAACGGTGATAAAAATAGCCATGTGCAAAGTGTTATCATAACCTCTGCTTCAGCTGTCACCCAGCCAAGCAGTGCACGCAGACAACCCCGTCCAGCTCAGCATGGCCATAACTCCACCAGCCACCTGATGTGCTTCTCTGCTTCTCCTCTCTTAAATTCTAGCACTGCTTCAGCATCCAAAGCTAAAACCAGTGGTGAAGGTGTTAGGTCTGCAAGGGGAGAGGAAGGCATGGAAAATACCCCTGGAATCAGTTCAAAAAGTGATTTATTTTTCTTTCTGATGCATCATTTGTAATTTTTTTTGGTGTATTTTTTTTTCTGAGTGAACCATTAACTGCAAGTCTGGTTGGCAGACTGCTGAAACCTCCTAAATCATCCTGTAAATATATATTCGTGCCAAAAGCATTTCAGTCCTCAAAGAGGGAGGTCAGCTGTGCCACAGGGCTGAAGAGAGACGATGTAAAGACAGCAAACACTCAGCAAGTGATTGCAGCAAGCAGGTTGTGAATAGCTTGAACAAAAGTTGTGTCCTTTGCAACAGGAGTCAGAAAGATGTTGGGAAGAGTCACTTGTCCAGTCTCAGTTCTTCGTTTCCCCATCATCGGTGCCTTTAGCAGAACAAAATCTTTGTAGATCTGCTCATTGTTCATCAAAGCCTGACTCGCCCCTATGGGTGGAAGTCACTACCGGAAAGTCTTGTTTCTTCTTCAGTGCTGGCAAACGCTGAGGCTCTTCTGGTCCCAGGCAGGACCCCAGTCTCTGATCCCTGCCCTGATCCTCTGGTCCCACTTTTCCAGCTTCCCCATCTGGTGTACCAAACCCAAGAGCGTCAAATCCTATCAGCAACTCAGAGCCTTCAGCCCTGCCTCCAGGGTCTTCCCCACCATCTGCCCCTCCATTCACATCCTCATCCCTGTCCCCAGACCCAGGCACCCACCCCTGGCACCCAGCTTCTCCCCGATGAGACGCATGGAGGTGACCAGCACCTGCGAGCGAGGGACGGAGCTGAACCTGCTCCGCCGCTGCTCGCTGCGCCGGGAATGCCCCTTCCCTTCGCTCAGGCGTTTGATATTGCAGCTGGGAAGCGGCGGCACTGACCTCCGGCCCCTGAGCTGGGGTTTGGCAACGCAGCGGGTAAACTGCTGCGGCAGCTCCGGCAGCTCCCTGTTTGCACGGGCGACCGGGACGCGCAGATCAAAGGGCTCCGCGTGAGTAACAGCGGCCCAGCCCTGCACTTTGTTCACGTTCCCGTCTCCCTTTCACAAGAGGCGGCCTCTGCCTGCCCGGAGGGCTGGAAGGGCTTGGTGGGAGGATGTGGGTGACGCCGCGAGGTCCTCCAGGCACTGTGCTTTGACCTCACCAGGGTGGCATGTATGCTCGTTGGGGTGGGTCTCAAAGCTGTCCTCCTCGGACCACAGCAAGTGGTGGGGCTGTGAAAAGCCATCCTAATCCTAGACCAGACCCGCAGCCCCAGCATCGCCCTGTTGACTGTGAGGGACAGGGACCAGGGAGAGCACTGTGGCTGGGAGTCAGGCCCATAGACAGCCCACGGCTGGTGCAGCCACGGTGAGAAACGAGGTCCTGCAGAGGTTTCTGCTGTCCTGGGACGGGAGGGTTGTGTAGTGGTCAGCAGAGCTAATGGGGCTGCAGCTCCCTCCCCAGCAAATCCAGCTCTGAAGCAAAGGGGCACATGGCACAGACAGCTGGGGAATGTGGTGTTTAGGTTTATGGGTTGCTGTGACTGCAAGCCCACCAACAAATTTGCCTCCACAACCATAGGGTGAAACTGTCCCTGAACCGCAGAGCTCTAGCAAGAGCAGGCACTGCAGCTCCACACAAGTACAGAAACCAAGGTGTAAACTATTTTCCCAATCTAAGCAGCAGGTGCTTCTTTCTCCTGCGAAGAGCCATGGAGGCAGATACTTATCCAAATGGTAGATGTTAATATAGATGTCCAATGCAAAATGTCCACTGAAGCTTCTCTTCTTTTGGACAGGCAAAGCTGGCGGGGGAACGTGGAGCCCGTGCGATCCTTTTTGACATTACCGATGATGAAAGTGCTGCTGATCAGGTACAAACCCCATTGATATTATCAGCTAAACCACAGTGCCCCCGTCCCATCCCAAAACGTGTCCAGGTCGGGACCCACCAGCAAGCAACAGGCAGTGGGAGGTCCCAGGAGGATACGGCAGGCTCCTACCCAGCTCATCCATGCACACAGACAGTGCTTTTCTCTTTCGCCCGCTCCGTGGCACGTCCAGACCTCCACAAGCAGGCCAGCAGCTTCCGAACAGCACCCTGCTGCTGTTGAAGGACACGGAGTCCTGCATTCAGCTCTGGGGTCCCCAACATCAGAAGGACATGGAGCTGTTGGAGCGGGTCCAGAGGAGGCCATGAAAATGATCCGAGGGCTGGAGCACCTCTGCTATGGAGACAGGCTGAGAGAGTTGGGGCTGTTCAGCCTGGAGAAGGCCCCAGGGGGATATTATTGCAGCCTTCCAGTACCTAGAGGGGGCCTACAGGAGAGCTGGAGAGGGGCTTTGGACAAGGGTGTGCAGTGATAGGACAAGGGGCAATGGCTTTAAACTGAAAGAGGGGAGATTTTGATGAGATCTAAGGAAGAAAGTTTTTACACTGAGGGTGGTGAGGCACTGGAACAGGTTGCCCGGAGAAGTT